CGGCGCTGCCGCAGCCGCCCCGGGAGGACAGGCTGACCACGGCCCAGGAGGTGCTGAGCACCGCACGGGGGATGCTGCCCCCCAAGGTGAGCTGGGACACCCCAAACCAGGCGTCTCTGCAAGAAAATGTCCTGGGATTTGGGTTAGGAAGAGTCATTTCAGAGCCATGGGGCTTGGCAGGTGGGAACACAAAGAGGTTGTGGTGTAGGGGTAGTTTCAGGCTATAAGAGCTTTCAGTGTTGGTTTTGGGGCTGGGCGAGGAGCTGAAGCGCCCCAGAACCTCCTCTGTGGAGGCAGGGGGGTTGCGGAGGGGAAACTTCTCCTTCCCAAAGTGTGAGCGGCCCCCGGCTGCAACCCAACGCCGCCGCCTCCTTCCACATGAGCAGATGGAAAAAGCTCTTGCCAACCTGGCCATCAGAACCGCCGCAGCCGATGCGGGGGAACCGGCAGTTTCCAAAACGCCGCCCCCTGCCAGCACCTCCAGTGCTCTCAAAGGGGTGTCCCAGGAGCTGCTTGAGAGGGTGAGTAATTCAGTCCTGGCTGTAAACCCCAGTGCTGGGATGAGGGATGGGGGGGGAAAATGGACCTGGCCACGTCTCACCCCAATCCTCTCCGCTCCCCAAGATCCGCGCCAAGGAGGCGCAGAAGCTGCAGGCGCTGCTGACGCGGGCGCCGGAGCAGGAGCAGCGCTTGGCCATGCTGGGGCGGCGCGGGCCTTGCCCCGGGTCCTGCGCAACGTCTGCGTGGCCGAGAAGAAGCAGGCACTGCCCATGGAGGTGGCCTGCGCCCGCATGGCCGACAGCTACGACACACAGATGACTCCAGGTAGGAAAACCTTGGTCCTGAGGAGTCTCCTTGTCATTTGGGGGGGGATTTGTGCAGGAGGAGCTGGGTTTTGACTTGGTCGCTGCTGAATTTTGCAGGTGAGATGGAGAAGCACTTGCGCCTGTTCGCGGAGCTGCTGCCCGACTGGGTGGGGATCCACGTCCTGCGCTCGGACACCTACATCAAACTGGACAAGGACAAAGACCTTGGCGTCATCACCCAGAGCCTGGCCAAAGTGGCCAAGGAGGCAGAAACCCCCTGAGCACCCCCCCAGGGTTGAGGTTTTCCCCCATTTAATTGCCTTAAAATGCAGCAAATCCCGACTGTGCTGTGGGGACTGGTGTGGGCTGATGGGAGGCTCGTCCTTGGGGATGTCTGAGGGCCAAATGCCTTAATTTCATTAATTAATTCCTGAAGGCAGGGAGTCCTGGGTCCCAGGGTGATGATACCAAGCCCTCCTTGGCTTTGCTGTGTTCTCATGAAGGTTTTATGCAGGTTTCTTCCATTAACTGAGCCCTATTGGGGTGGAGGCAGGACTGGGCAGGGTGAGAGGGTGATGGGCAGGAAGGAGCAAGAGAAGAAATGGCCAATTTGATGGTTTTTTTTGGAAACTTTTTGGGCCTTGTTCTGTTTTTAAGGGAGTGGGAAAACTCATCTCCAGCGCTTGCTGGAAACAGCGGCAGGACTTGTCAAAACACATTTGTATTAAATGTTTTAAATGGAGCTGACTCGTGTTAACCCAGCGCTCGTCCTCCGCGAGCTCCGGCCAGGCTTGGGTCATCCTCCAGCTCCTGGAGGAGGATTGGAGCTGGAAAAAATGAGCGTGGGTTTGGGGAGCTGAATGGGGCTTTTGTGGAGCGCAGCGGGGCTGGGGGTGGGCGCAGGGGGGCTTTTCCCCCATAGAAAACTTGGGTCCTTGGGCTGGAGGGACAAAGGGGGTGATGATATCTGCAGGGGAGGTCAGGAAAAGTAGGGGTGACAAGGGAAAATTTAGGCTGTAGCTTCAGTTGTGCACTTCCCAAGCCAAACCGGGCTGGTTTTAGCCTGGGGCATCCAGGACTCGCATCCTTCATCCCTTGGGTGTGAGGGACCGCGCTGGTCCAGGGATGCTTCCCCGCCTGAAGCAGTGGTTTTGGATGCTGGCAGCATTGGGGATTGCTGTAGTGCTGCCCAGGGGAGCAGGCAGACCTTCTTCCCCTCCTCCTCTTTGGGCTGAATGGACCTTGCTGCAGCAGAGACGCTGTTTTTGGGAGCCTTTTGGCACATGTGTGCCCCAGGGGAGCTCGCAGTGAGCTCCCGTTCTGCTGCCTGGGACAGAAACCTCTACAAACAAATCACACCAAGGCAATGGCACCGTCCCTGCGTTGCCTGATGTCACCCTTGGCACGGGCAAGGCTTACATCTACCTCCACAGTGCACAGCTGCTTTCCACCACTCTTTTTTTGGGGTAGAACCTGATTTTTTCCCTTCTCTACTTCACAGCAAGGACCTTCTCATGCCAAGCATGCAAGGCGCTGCCTCCCTTGGCTCCATGCTGGAGCTGGCTGTAAAAACACAGTGCCCTGGGATAGGTTTGTCCCAGGGGAACAGCTCAGAGCAGTGCTCAAGTGGCTTTTCAGGAAACAGCGATAAAAATAGCTGTAATAGCCCTTAAAAGCATCAGAGCGGGGGATGCGGCATCCCCAGGCACTGGGAGCTTGGTCCGCTCCCATTACAACCCAGCAGGACCAGTTTTGGGTACCCCAATTCCAGGTAGGGCTTGGTGTAAAAAGTACCTGGGCTGCTGGATCCTGGCAAATCCATGCATTTTTGGGGGTGAGGGGAAGCTGATGCAGCTTTGCTCTGCTTCCGGCCTGGGTTTGGAGGGTAATGAACGGCTTCAGCTGCGGTTTAGAAAGACATACAAATAAGTCTGCATTTATTTTACCAGTGACCTCAGCCCCTGTGAGGACAGGGACACAGTCCCTGCCGTTTTTGGGCAGGGGGAGGCTTTGGCACCCTGGGTTTTGGCTGCTCCTATCACCAAACTGAACCATGCTATAGGGAGCACCTCATCCATTGCACAACCTGAGTGCGGCTGCAAGCATCGCCCCTTTTCTGTCTGTCCTGTGGCTTTATCTGACAGCAAACTTTTCAACAAGAATGGGCCATCCTGAGGTGAAATACATCCCTTAAATAAATCACTTTGTGCCTATCTTCTCTGTTTCTTTGACCAAGTTTTAACAGGTTCCTAGGGTGGTGAACAGGCAGGGCTCAACCCAAATATGGGATCTCTAAAGCAATCAGACCTCTCCTGCCACAGCTGCAGTGTTTTCACTTTGGTCTCCTATAAAAGCAATAATTGAAGCTGCATCTTGGTCTGCTCCCTAAAAACGCTCAGGCTGTTCCTTCATCCCATAAGGATCCTTACACTCAATGCACTTTAATCTTCGCCTTGGAAAATAAATTGGACTTAAAATGGCATAGTATCTGTCCAGGATTAAAATGATAAGTTTCCCCCCTGCCCTCCCCATCTGTGACATGAAGAATCACTGATTAAAGCCCAGATTTGTGCACAGCCCTCATGTGCTCGCTCCTCCTCAGTCGTACTGCAGCAGGGAGTAGAAAGGGACGGACTGGAGCTTTTCGGAGCCTTTCAGAGGTTTTAACTCGATGATCACCAGGCACTCCAGGACGTCGGCCTGCAGCCTCCTCATCAGCTCGCAGGCTGCACACATGGTCCCTGCAGGACAGGGGAGGAGCAGAAGCCATCGTCACTCAAGGGGAAGCACCAAATCCTGTGGCTGCTCTGGCTATCACCAATGCATGGGTATGGGGGTGACACGGGCTCTAACACCACAGAGTCACAGCATGGTTGGGTGGGAAGAGACATGGAAAGCTCCCCCAGCCCAACCCCTGCCACAGCCCAGTGCAACCCCTGCCACAGCAGGATCACCAGAGCAGTCACACAGGAACACGGCCAGGGCTTTGGGTGTCTCCACACAAGGAGACTCCACAACCTCTCTGGGCAGCCTGGGCCATGCTCCAGAACCCTCACACTCACAAACTTTGTCCTCATCTTCAGCTTGAACCTCATTGATCCAGCTTGGGACCATTGCCCCTTGTCCTGGCATTGGCCATCCCAGAGCAGAGCCTGGCTCCTTCCTCCTGACACTGCCCTTTCCAAATGGATCCCCAGGAATGAGGGCACCCCTCAGTCTCCTCTGCTCCAAGCTCAAGAGCCCCAGCTCCCTCAGCCGCTCCTCAGCAGGAGATGCTCCACTCCCTCCAGCATCTCTGTGGCCCTGCTGGACTCTTTCAAGCAGTTCCTGTCCTCCTTGAGCTGAGGGCCCAGCACTGGACACAAGATTGCAGCTGTGGTGTGAGCAGGGCAGAGCAGAGGGGCAGGAGAACCTCTCTGCCCTACAACCACCCCTTCTCATCCACCCCAGGATGGCGTTGGCCTTCTTGGCTCAAGGGCACATTGCTGGCTCATGGGCATTGCTGCCACCAACACCCCAGGTCCTTTCCAGCCACTCGTCCCCAAGCCTGTTTGGATGTCTCCATAGGAAACCCCACAGACTGGGCCATGCTCTGGTACCCTCACAGTAAAGACGTTTTTCCTTATGTTTTAAGTTGAACCTCCCGTGTCCCCATTTGTCCCCACTGCCCCTTTCCTGGTCCCATCCTCCTGACTCCCACTCTTGAGATACTGATGAGCATTAACGAGATCCCCCCTCAGTCTCCTCCAGCCTTTCCTCCTATGGGAGATGCTCCAGTCCCCCATCATCTCAGTGCCACCAGCCCCTTCTCTCACCTCCGGTCGCAAGCAAGTCATCTACAATCACGACTTTTTGTCCCGGTTCCACGGCGTCGCTCTGGACTTCAAGTTCAGCCTGCGGGGTGGAAAGAGCAGCTTCATTTTAGCCTCCTCACTCGACAGAGAAACACTTCACAGACTGCTAGCGCATGGTGGGATGCAGACAAGTCTCCAGGGAGATCAGCCTAAAATTAAAACCCCAAAACCACATACTCCAGCTACAGGGGAATGCCACAAATATAAAGCGGGTTAGGGGATTGCTGGGCCAACCCTCTGGCACGTCAAGATCCTGAACATCCATCAAATGAGTTATGATCCCATCATGAAACCTTATCCCAAAGCACTTCTCCAGTGGGGAAAATCTGTAACGCTGGAGCGCTCAGCACCACCAAACCAGATCCAAACCGTCCCACACACGTCCTGTGTCAGACGAACCTGTCCCATGCAGGGGTTGGCCCGAGCAATCCCATAAATTACGCCGAGGTTTGGGATTTCTGCTGCCGGTTCCTGGCTGCCGTTAGTGACCGGCGGTAGCGCATTATTGGGTTCGCACCTCTGCTTTTAATGGGAGAGGCTGCGGCGTTAGGAGGTGAGCGCGCTGCTTTGAAGCCATGCAAGAAAGGCGTTTACTTATAGCACTTACTGGAAGAGGGGGAAACGCACTCCATGGTCATGCCCCTGAATTCAAGCCAAAGAAAGCAATTTAGCACCAAGTCTTATCACACCCTCCCCTGGTCCCCTCCACAAGAAATCCCAGCGAGGCTCAAGGAAGGAGCTGCTCGTGCTGCGGCATCACCGCCGGCTGCAAAACCCAATCTGGGGACCCCTCTGATGCTTTTATCACCCCTCAACCCTGCAGCAACCACCGTGGAAACCCTCTTTTTGCCCCACAGCATTACCTTGCCATACTCCAGGGCATAGGAGATGGACTCGGTGGGCCCGGGAAGCTTCCCCTTTTTGCGGATGAGCACGAAGCCGATGCCCAATCTCTGAGCCAGAGGGGGGCCGATGAGGAAGCCGCGGGAGTCCAGACCTGGGGGAAGCAGAGCAGCACAAACACTCAGAACAGAGCCATTCAACTTGGGAGGGTCTTTGCAGCATACCCCAGCTTTATCGTCCCGTGTTCAGGGGGGGTCTTGAGAAGCAATTTGCTCTTACAGTGATTTCTACACATTGAAAACATGCACTGCACTACCTGTGCTTGCTAAAATACACTGCTGAGAAGCTTTGGGGCACCACATTGCCCCCCTTGAGCCCCTTTTGCCTGCTCCTTCTTGGAGATAAGCCCAGCAAGGCCCCGGTATCAGTTTGGCCACACAGCCAGGGACTTTGCACTACTGGGACTGCACTTATCATGGGGCACTTGGGCTAGGTTTGGTCTCAGCTCCTTGAACTTCGGGCTATCACTCAGCTCAAGCACTGCTTTCCTAAGCACCTCCATCCTCAGCCCCTTCCATAGGTGTGCTGCAAGGCGTTACCACCACAGAGGCTGTTTTGTTGGCTTGCAAATGCCCTCAGAGAAGGAAAATGTGCTGAGGCAAGGTCTGCCTGCCACAGGGACCATGTGGGACCTTACAGGCACAGCACAGCAGGCTTTCTGACTCCTTTTTCCAGCCAGCAAGCAAGGAATTACGAAATTGGCACTGAAGCAGCATCAGATAGTGTCTGCCACATACCAAACCGGTATTTCAGGAAACCACAGTAGTAACTTAAGGGTATAACCTGTCCCTGTGTTACCGTATGAAAGAGGTCAACATTCAGGCTACAGTCCAAGGACTACGGTATTTGCTGCCCCATTAGCAGAGGAGCCTCCTCACACTTCCCAAAACAGTGCTCAGAAATGTTTCAGCCAATGCTCACCCGCGATAAAGTCGATTTTGGGGAAAGATACCCTCAGATGATCTTCCAGAAGATCAAGCAAAGCCTTGAAAGCCACAGGATCCTTCAGCAAGGGGCTGATATCGCTGCAAAGAGAAGGAGAGCAGTCACCTACCGGGGATGTGGGTCCTGCCTTGTGCTGCCAGAGCAGGCAAGGGGAAGGGTGGGCAGTGAGGAAAGGGGCTGGTAGCATGGTCCTGCCCCTGCCTTGGCTCCATCCTCAGCATGGCCCTGGCTACGGCTCCATCCCACTCCTGGCTCCATCTCCATCCCCGGGTCCATCCCCGTTCTGGCTGTGGCCCTTGGCTCCATCTCAGCCCAAGCTCCATCCCCATCCCTGGCTCCATCCCACTCCAGCCCCATCCCGGCCCAAGCTCCATCCGCATCCCCGGCTCCATCCCCGTCCTGGCCCTGGCCCCGGCTGCATCCCGGCCCCAGCCCCGTCTCGGT